ACTCGAGCAAACATGGTTAAGGATGATGATGATGGTGTTGATAGGAAACCCGGTATCAGCGAGTTGATGTACAATGAGGTGTCCGCAAACGAGACACTGCTGTCAACGCTGTTATAACTAACCACAAACGAGACACTGCTATCAACGCTTGCACAATTAAAAAGAAACGCTGGCATTGACACTACTAGCAATACCAAAGTGGAGTTTAAACGAGGCACTGCCATCAACCGATTCAACTTCCAATGAAAGAAGATCACAAATGAGTTCACTCTGAAGTGACCCATGGGTATCAATGCGAGAAGTCTCTGCAAACTATTCACTCATGGCGACCGCCGCGCACACGCGTGTAGGAAATCGTTGATGATGATAGTGATAATGGAGTGGGGGCCAGTAATGCAGATACACTGCTGTGCATTCACTTGCTGCGAAAAGAAACTCTGTATGAATGAGTTGATATATAATGAGTTGTCCACAAACGAGACACTGCTATCAACGCTTGTATAAGTAAAAAGAAACGCTGCTATCGACACTTCCCCCAATACTAAAGTTGTCTTTAAACGAGTCACTGCCATGAACGGCTTCAACTACAGTGTAACGAAAGGAACTGCAGGCTGAGAAGCACCGCAGGCCAACGTGAACCAGTCGTGGTGATGAGGATGAGTGAAATCTGCGATGATGATAGCGATCATGAAGTCGGTTGTAGGAACCCACTTTTGTAGTAACCAACATACACTGGTATGCATTCACTTATGGTGAAAGGAAACTCGGTATCAGTGAGTTGATATAGAATGAGTTGTCCGCAAACGAGACACTGCTATCAACGCTTTTAGAACGAAGCGAACCCATCAGAACACTGTTATCAACGGAAAGAATGCTGTAGAAGGACAAAGCGCTGAATGTACACCGATGTGTTCGACGACTGCGTATGTAATGATGTGACGATATACAGACTGAGCCCTTCGTGAATGTCTACATGTTTTTCTGACGCCTACAAACGGCGCTGACGTGTGTGAGAAAATTGTCCGCGCAGCAAAAGCCGGCGAAGCGTGCAGACAGCCAGCTGCAAAAGGTTGCGAGCGGCTCTTGGAAGACGTTTACGGAACGGAGCTACGGTGTCTGAAAACATTGGCATCGAAGCGAAGAGCCTCGGAGCCCTGCAGCCTGAGAAACACCGCAGGAACTCGCATACTGAAAAGGAATGCATTGCAAACCGCACGTTGCGAACCCTGCAGGCTGAGAAGCACCGCAGGATGTCGCATGCTGAAAAGCACTTGTACTGCAGAGCGCAGGCTGCGAAACCTGCAGGCTGAGAAGCACCGCAGGAACTCGCATGCTTTCGAACACTACTGCTCGAGACCGCAGCTGGAGAGCGGCAGACCGCAGGCTGAGAAGCACCGCGGGCAGAGAGACTTGCAAAACTCAGATGTCCTGATCGTCTTGGAGGAAGTCACGCCAGTCCGGCGGCTGCCAAGAATCGATGATGCGCCTGGAGCCACCGCCCGTGCTGCCGCCGATGTCCAGGTAGTCGCCATCGCCCCTGAACAGACGGCCGTGCCCGCACGCCAGAATCGCTTGGTTGCGGATTTGAAGCAGCGCTCCGCTCTCAAACATCTGCAACACGTCCAGCTGCCTGCGCGTGAAGTTCGGCTTTGCCTGGCCAGCCTGGGCAGACAGATGGAGGGAAAGCCGCTCCCCCTCGTTGTAGCGCGCGATGGCCTCGGCCTTCTGGTGGTGCAGCCGGCGCCGCTGTTGCCGCAGAGCTTCCTCGGGAACTGCTGCATCACGGCCCTCACTGTGATCAGCTTGCAACGCTTGCGTTAACCAATCAACGTCGAAGCGCCCTGAGAAGGCCAGCACCTCCCAGATCTGTTTGGTACCGGCCACACGTTGCAAATGGCGATGCCACCGCTTACGCTTCTGGTCTTTCACAAACTTGGCGACGCTACCCAGACCTGCACCCTTGGCCTGGCCACCTTTTCCCGCAGGCTGAGAAGCACCGTGAGAACCTTTCTTACCGCCTGGCCCTTTGTTCGGACCCTGCGGAACCGCATGGCCCCCTTGTGGCGCAGACTTGCCTTTCGCTTTTCCCTTTTCGATATCCCGTTCCTGAAGCGCACGCTGCTGCCGCGACTGCTCGTACTGGTCGCGAGCTACTCTGACCAATTCCTGGCGCTCAGGCTCCGTGAGAACGTAGCGCATGTCGTCGATGTTCTTGCTCCGCAGAAAGTCATGTCGAAGCTTAAGGACAGAGAGAATGGCTCGGCCAGTCTCCTCCTGAGACGCAAAGGCCGCGTCATATTCCGAGCCAGGCTGAGGAGCGCCAGCTGGATCAGTGTCCGCTGGCTCCGTGGACTTCCTCTTTTTGAAAAGCAAGAGACTGAGATGATGGAGGACTTTCGGATCGTACTCCTCGTCGTACCTGTCGTCCCAAAGCTGCCTCAGCTCCCTGTGCAAGTCGTCCGCGCGATTCTGAACGACATCCTCGACGTAGTCGGGATCACCCGGTGAAGTCGGTGAAAGCGGAGGAGCAGAACTCGGCGACCGATCCCAATGCACAGAAGACTCGCGGTCCGCCTGTACGCTGACGTCGGCGTCGGAGACGTTTTCGACGACAATTTTCCGCCTCTTGCTCTCCCCAGGCTGAATAGCACCAGGGAGAGTGAGCACAACCGCCACCGCATCGTGTGCGTCGTTGCGCATGCCACGATCCGTAAAAGACGCGCCAACGGCAATGGAGCAGAAACGGGCGACTGCTCCGCAGACCGCGACGTGGTCGCCTTTGAGGTCGGCCGGAGTGGCATGGACCTCCCATACCTTCTCGTCGTTCTGCTCGCGCTGGTAAGCCTCCCGCGCCTCCTGGAAAGTGAGGTTGTCGTCGCCGACTACAAGCACAACGACTGCCTCGTTTAGATTCTCAAGAATCTTGGCCAGGCCGTCCAGGTGCAAGCGGAGATGGCGAACTGTCCGCTTTCGAGTCTGGATGCTCGGCGGTTTCTTGCCGCACACGATGTGCATGTTGGCGATCACCACGTGGAACTTGTCATGGCCTGGTTTGTTCACCTCAAAATGTGAAATAACAGCATCAATATCTCGGCCGCTAGGAGGCCTGTAAACTTTGCTGTCTTCGCACAGAGTCAGTTCCGCAGGCTGAGAAGCACCGCGGAACCCCCAGAGAGTCAAGTAGTTGTCGACCTCCAAGAAGCGAATGCCATCACCGAAAGGCTTACTGAGGATCTCTGTCACGTTGATCCCTGCTCGGCGAAAGCCTTCACGGAACGCACCGACCTCGCAGCCACAGACCATATCAGCATCAGCGGTCTCCACTATCTTGGCGCACAACCTTCCGAAGTTAGCGCAGTGAGTGGCCGCCTGCTTACCAGTCATCATGCCCTGCTCGAACCCGAAATTGAACGAGGCGACCGTGAAAGACGCAGGCTGCACAGCGCCAGAACCAGGCGTCTGTCCACCTTCCTCCGCAGGCTGAGAAGCACCGCGAGGCGGCGCAGGCTGAGAAGCACCGCGAGGCGGCGACACTTCGGACGAGCCTCGCGGAGCAGAGGCTGCGGATGAACGTTGGACATGGGGGTACGGCCAGGGGAACGCCATTGCAATCAAAACTCAGTGGACTGCAGTGAATGAATGTAGTGGCCAATTGAATGCAGAGGACTGCAGTGTCACTAGCAAGTCCTGAACCAAACACAGCTGTGGCGGAAGGAATATGAAGCGTCTGGCTATTCAAAATGTTGCCCGGCAATGGAGTTCTGGGAACTCGAAGACCAGGAAGTGGACTAGAGTTGGCTCTGGGCATCCAAAATGTAGCCCAGGAATGGAGTTCTGGGAACTCGAAGAGCACGAAGTGGCTTACAGTTGGCTCCGGGCATCCAAAATGTGGCCCGGGAATGGAGTTCTGGGAAATGGAAGAACACGAAGTGGCCTACAGTTGGCTCCGGGCATCCAGAATGTGGCCCGGGAATGGCGTTCTGGGATGTCGAAGAGCACGAAGTGGCCTACAGTTGCATCCGGCCCCCCAGAATGTGGCCCGGGAATGGCGTTCTGGGATGTCGAAGAGCACGAAGTGGCCTACAGTTGCATCCGGCCCCCCAGAATGTGGCCTGGGAATGGAGTTCTGGGAAGGCGAAGAGCACGAAGTGTGTGACTGTTGGTGAAAAACGAGCCTGGCTCATGCCGCCCGGAAACGCCCCAACACCTGCCCGGACCCCCCTGTGGAGTGATCTGTGAGCTCTTTTGAGACCACTAGAAACCTATCAGTCTTCGCTGTTAGGTAATAATCCCTTGACTATGGTTTGAATTCTCTTGAATGTTCCTCCTGTAGAGGGACACGCCCGACTTACGCATAGCGCCCCCCCGCCCTATCTGGCACACCCGTCACACACGCTTCGTGGCCACACATCGGGCCCCACCAAAGGCCTCACTGGCAAGGTGCCGCACGGCGTCCCCCCCGCTCCGTTCGGCACGCTCTTCAGACAGTTCTTGGCACCGCAGGGGACTCCGCCTGGGGCCTCAGCGGCAGGGCATCGCATGCAGCCCCAGTTCTTGGCCCCGCAGGGGGCTCCGCCTGAGGCCTCAGAGGCAGGGCATCGCATGCAGCCCCACGCTCACACCCCATCAAGCGTGCTGAGGCTTCGCAGAAGAGCTCTACCAAAGCCGCAACCGCAGGGTATCCCCCCCCTTTCGCGGCGCACTGCCAATGAGGAGAGGCCACATGTCCTGCTCTACTCGCAGCTGCTTTGGGTTTGGTCCTTCGCCGAACTAATGTTTGTTGGTTGGTGGGATGGAACGTCTCGGCTAGGTGGCACAGCAGGAGTACGTACTAATAAGGATCGGGGGGCGAGAGGGGAGGGGAGGGGAAGAGCAAAAGGAAGGATGGGGCGATAAGGAGGGACGCGGGGGCAGGAGGATGGACAGGGGAGAGGAAGAGTAGAAAGAGAAGAGACCAAATAATGATGAGGGCAAAAAGACATCTATAGACAATACGGGTCCTTCTGCGACCATGTGACACCGCCGTCTTCGCCTCCATTCGCCTGCGGCACGTGCATGTGTTCACGATACAGGCTTTGGCTACTGCAGGGGTGGCCTCCTAATCCCCGTCTTCCTCCACTTCCTCCACCGTTACCATCATGTTCCTCCTACCTTCTCTTTCCCTCTTCACTTCCTCACTCATTCATCTGTTCCTCCTTCCTCCCTCCTCCCTCCTCCCTCCTGCTCGTGCTCCTGCTCCTCCTCGTCCTCCTCGTCCTCCTCCTCATCCTCCTACTCCTCCCGTCATTCTCGTCCCAAATCATCCACGTCATTCCTCCGCCTCCATCCGGCGACATTCAAGGAAACCACGAGCTTGGAAAGGAGGCATGGCCCATGCAGAGTGTGCAGAAAGGCACACGCTGAGGACCATGCTTCTGACATGACTGCAAAGCCCTTCGCCCAGTCTGGCCTCAACGGACACCTGTGACAACTCCCCAGAAAAACTAGGCTATTACGATGTGACTTCCACCAGCAATCTCCTTTGGGTTTCCTGACAACCGGGGGGGCAGGCGGCATGCGTATCGCCCCCCAGAGGGATTTGGCTGGGTCTGGACGGCGGTCTAGAGCCCCCTGTATCCTCGATCTCAGAAGCCACCGGAAACCCTACTCACTCGCCACTCCTGCTCCTGATCGTCCTCCTCCTGATCCTCCCCCTCCTCCTCCTCCTCCTCCTCCTCCTCCTCCTCCTCCTCCTCCTCCTCTTCCTCCCCCTCCTACTCCTCCTCCGCCTCCGCCTCCTCCTCATCGCCATTCGTCGAGAAAAAACCACGCCTGCCACGCCCCGCGACCCTGGGACGGAAAGAGACCGCGGTAAGGGACCACCCCTTGCGCACACCCTCTGGTGTCGAGAAAATGCCACGCCTGCCACGCCCCGCGACCCTGGGATGGATAGAGACCGCGGCGAGGGAGAGGAGAGGAAGAGGAGGAGTGGAAGAAGGAGGTGTGTGGGAGGAGACGCAGGTGCAACGCGGGTGAGAAGAAAACCAGAGCCCGACAAAACACGTGGGGACAAACCAGAACCGCACGAACGTCTGCCACGTAAGTGCCACGCCTGCCACGTAAATGCGAGCGAGACGGAGAAGCAAAAGGGTGGGGAGGAGGAGAAGAGGAGAAACGCGGGTGCGACGCAGCAGGGAAGAAAAAAACCCCACGAAACATGTGGGGAATCAACTTTTGGCGTCCGCGACGATTTCTCGGATCTGCGCTGGACCCCCCTGCCTGGCGCGCGGAGCGCGCCAGGGGCGGCGCCAGGGGCGGCGCCGGAGGCGCCGCCAGGGGGCCCCGGGCGCCGATCCAAGAACTTGGTGCGGAGCGCCAAACAAGTTTGTGTTCATGGCGTCTCTTCTCCTTCGATGCACCGTCGGAGCTGGTTGGAATTGAGGACACGCGGAGAGGACACGAGAGACCCCTCCGAGGGCCACGTTGCCACAGGCATGCAGAAGGCATGGGTCGCGAAACTGGGGAAACCAGAAGGTACCGATACGGCTACTCCCCGGACCGCTCCCGGAGTGCGTTTCGACCAGAACTTCGAGGCGAATGCAGCGGTGGCGACGAGGGCCTCCCAGGAGGCCCCCCCCCACAAAGAAAACGAGGGCAGGGTACCAGTATGGGTACCATTTCCTCCGTTGAGAAACGCAGGACACGACGGTACTCTTGATTTGTCGGGGATGGACAGACCCCCCTTTAGTAAAACGTGGTTTCATTCAGTGAAAACGACCTCGGGGCGCAAGCCTGGAAGATAACGGCCACGGCGCCCTCTCGAGAACCGAAAACGGACAATTCACTAATCGACGTGTCACTGTTGGGAATGCTGTCCGCCCCCGAATTTGGCAGGGTCGCCCTGCTGAGCAGCCCCGACTGTGTGCCGCTCTGCGCCCGCTGCAACTGCGGCTGAGCCGGCCCGCCCCCCCGCCCCGCGCCTCGAGCCACTGCTGCTTGGCGTCCTGCGCGCGGGGGGCCAGGGTCAGGTCGGGCATGTCCCCCTACAGGCGGGTTTTGGATGAAGAATAAAAAGTAGTCAACGAATGCTCCCAAAGAGTCAAAAAAGTAGTCGAAGAATCGTCCCCAGACTATTTCTCTTCCTATTCTTGAGTGTCCCTCCTGTAGAGGGACACGCCCGACTTCAGGCCACGGGGGGGGGGCGGGGAGAGGAGAGGCAGGGCGCCCGCTACCCGAGGGGGGGGGGGGGGGTGTCTCGGGGGCGCGCAAGCATGGATTAGCCATCCGTGGATTCGGCGCGCGGCCGCCAAATCCATGGATCGGGGGATGTGCCCTCCCCAGAAGGCGGCCGGCGGAAGAAGTAGGAAGAAGCATGAATTAGGAAGGCGGATCAAGTAGATTGGGTTCGGGCCCGTCCAGAGGAGTAACAAAACGGAGCAAAAGCTTGCCGATTCTGAAGTAGGAAGGTTCTTGAAGTAGATTGAGTTCTGGAAATGCAGAAATACAAACTTTCAACGAACGATGGGTACCGATACAGCAGGCAGTGGTGCCACCACGCACCGTTCGAGCATCCCCTCCGCCGGAGAAGGCGGGTCGCGAGCGAGGAAGGTGGATGTCGTGCGGGTGGGTGTGCTGGGGGAAGACTTGAGGGTCGGTCTGCATGCGCGATGTGAACGTTTTGGTGTTCGGCGTTCCGACGTCGGGCGGAAGGGCCGGGGGGAGGGGGGCTCTGGCTCTGGACCTCTGCTTGATTCGACGGTTTGCAACAGCGTTCTGTGGGGGAGACTCCACCTGCTTGCAACAGGCGCCAACAGGAAGCCAAGATCCACTCCATAGGTAGACAAGCGGGTTCCACTACTCGCAGAATAACCACTCGCAAATGGCCCAGATCCGCCGACGGGGATCCGAGATCCATTACATCGAGGAAGACGTTGGCTTGGGGGACCTTTGGCGAGTAGTCACTCTGCGAGTAGTGGAACGCGCGCGGTGCATGGGAGGGGGGGGCGATGGCCCGCGCCGATCGGCAAAACAGAGAGCAAGGAAACGATCACGAAACGATCAGCACCTCCTGCCCCGACGACGACCGGCCCCGGAGGGAGCCAGCATCAGGCATGCGCACATGTTGACGGCAAGCAGTCCTGTGGCTTCGGATCCCCGCTCGGAGGCTGGACGCGTGCGAGGTGGCCCCCACTGGGGCGCAGGGTGGACGAAACCGCATAGCTCGGCGGCGAGCGAGGGGGGGAAGGGAGAAGGAGGCCCCAAACCGCCGAGCGATGGGGACGGGTGACATAGGCAGAGGGCGGCGACGGGAACGGAGGAAGGCGAGAGAAGGGGACAAACACGCAGGAGGCCACGAGATTTGTCCTGGAGGTTCGGACGGGGCGTCTGATGCCTTTGAAAAGATATGGCGCACTCGAGTCGTAACGACCTGCGCATTGGTTCTGAGTCCGCGGGGATCGTCTAAGATTGAACGATGGCGACTGTCCGATAGCGCGGATATTCCGACGTCGGCCGATTCTAAGCCACTGGCGGTGTTCAACCGCCGAGCCGGCATGACTCGAAACTGCCTGACAATGCTACTGAATGCCGAGTCGGCACGACACGGAACTGCTGACCAAAAACAATAATCAGGACGGATCTTCAGACGCCACCCTTGCGGATGATCTGGAGGTCAACTAGCCCGATCCTTCCACACTGGTTCGAGGTCTTGGCAGTGCGGGCAGTCCTTTGCCTGGGGGCCCGCGTTGCTTCCACTCCCTGACTACTGCATGCCAGGTATGTTACATTTTCTCTATGAATCTCTCTCTCTCTCGCTCACTCTCTCTCTCTTTCTCATTTGTTTTTCTTTCTCTCTCTCTCTCTCTCCCTATATATATATATATATAGATCTGTGTTTGGGGTCAAACTTCGTCATCATCCCTGCTCGCTCCTCTTCCTCGACTTCTCTCCTCGCTCGCGGCAAGAATTGCGGGACACCACCTCCTGCGGGTGAGTGCTGCCCCCTCCCCAGCAGCGGCCCGCGGGTTCGTGCTAGCCCTTTCTCCAAGCCAGCGGCCCACATATTAACGCAGCCTCCATAGCAGTGGCCTGCGGCTTCATGCTGGTCCCTCTTGTGACAGCTTTTTCTCCCCTGGGTAACGGTCGTTATCTAGTGGGGGGGAGGTAGAACGAGAAGGTAACGGTGACGGTGCCGCTGCGTGCACCCGCCAGGGTGCGTCCGCGCCACCGGCGCGTGAACCGCCTGTCTTCACGACAGCATGTGGGAGGGGGGTCAGGGCCCCCCCTCCCCAGCACGATCGTTAGCGTGACCCGGGGGGGGAGGGGGGATGGTGCGGCTCGGGTAACGAGTGTCACCTTGAGGTGTGAAAAAATCGCTCACCTTTGAAGGCAACGACCTGCGGAGTAACACCGCCTACACAGAAACGTCCTTCGGGGTCATGCTGGTCCATGCCAGAAGGTAATGGCATGCGGGTCAACGTTCTCTCCCAGCGAACGGTTTACGTTTTCGTGTTGGTCCGTCCATCACGGCAACGGCAAGTATGCCGAGGCCACCCTCTCCACTCCCAATGTGCTCGCCGTTGCCGTTTGCTCATGGGGGGGACAAGGGGATAGCACCCTACCCTATCTCTACCCCCCCGCCCTCCAATCCCTCCTTCACACCCACATCCTCGCCCTCCTCCCCCTCCCTCCCCCCGCAGCAGAGACAGGCATATGCGATGACAGAACCAACCGAGTTTTTTCACAACACAGCGGGCTCAGCGAATCGACAGCCCGCGCTGCATACAAAAAGGAATACCCCACCCCTGGCACGGCAGGTCTCCCCCCCCAGGGTAATGGTCTCTCTCCTACATTCTTCCCCTGGACCCTCCTTCTCCTGGCATGGCCTGGAATCGAGATGAGGCCGTTCCAGAGCGTTCCGGAACGCTCTGAAAGAGCCACTGCGCCCGATGAATGCTCAAAACCCGCCGATGTTCAAAGATTTCCGATTTACACGTCGGTCGGAGTGGGAAGGCGTTTAGTCAGACTTGGCTTCCGCCCGCCCGCCTCCTGAAGATGAGGGAAGAGGAAAAACCGCTTGACCATTGAAGTACGAAGACGCCTAGATTGGGATCTGGGAATCAAAACATATACTTTCCACGACCGACGGGTATATCGGTCCGATTGTGTCTCGATTCTGCCTCAGTCTTCTCCCCCCGCCCACCTCCACAGTGCCCTGTCCCTGGTGGGCAGAGTCATTCTCCGCCCGAGTGCGAGACCAGCGCTGCCGCGGCTGCAAGGGCGAAGGGCCGACGGCACCCTTCAGGCGAGCGGCAGCCTTTCCAACCCGTTTCCCCCTACCCCTTCTCTGCTTCCTCCTCCTCCCCTCTCGGCCCTCTTCTCCCTGGCCATAGCCTGCAGGCTAACGCCGCCTCCAGAACTCCTCCGCAGCGGCCTGCGGGTTCATGTCATCCCCCCTCTTCCTTTTGGCAACGGACTGCTGGCCAATGACGGGGAGGTAATCGACGTGACGATTGTACGGGGCTGTGTTGATAGGCCAAGCTTCCACCACCACTACCACAGGTCGGACACGGGTACAAGGGAGGTTGGAGAGGTCCGCCTCCTCCTCCTGCTCCTCCTCCTCCTCCTGCTCCTCCTCCTGCTCCTGCTCCTGCTCCTGCTCCTGCTCCTCCTCCTCCTCCTCCTCCTCATCCCTCTCCTACCTATGGTAGTGGTAGCGGAAAGTCGGCCCACCATCTGTGCGTGGCGCGCATTGCCGCCGAGATTCTGGAAGACGTGCGTGGGGGCTGTCCCCAGGCGAGGCTCCCGCAGGCCGCATATATATATATATATATATATATATATGCACATATATATATATATAGATCGATCGATCTATACCTATATATATATATAGATGTATACATATACAAATGTATACATACATCTAACTAAATATGTATATACGTATATATATAGACTAATACAGTATTCATATGTGTGCACGTATAGATTATGTATATATACACTCATACGCATGCAAATAGCAATGTATATATATATATATATACACATGCATGCGTCTATCTACATACATGTATCATGGAAGCCATCATATATACATAGCGATACCGGTACATATATGTATATCTGTATACACATATATACATATAGCTGCACATATCCAGTTCTATGTGTATATATAGTTATGTTTATATATATGTATATATATATATATATTGTCTACGCATATGAATCTATCAATGCGGCTTCTGCACCGGCGCGAAGAACAACCCCGAACACTCGCCCCAGGGCTCCGTTACCCCTTGAAGCAATTTTCCACAAAATGCGGCACGAGAAACAACTACACGGAAACACCTCCGGAAGAAGCCGACGGACACGGGCCCAAAAAGCCTGCGCGACCCCCCTCCCCCGTAGACCCGGACAAGGACCCGACTCCTGCAGTGCCTCAGGAAAACAGTTGCACTGGACGACGAAATCGGCCTTTGCAGAAAAGGGTGTCGTTTCCCCGGCTTGCCAATGTTCTGGTTAGTCTTAGGTCGGGCATGTCCTCCTACAGGGGGGTTTTGGACGAACAAGAAACATAGTCAATACATACTAAAAAGAAGAACCCGAAATAGTCAAGAAATCGTTCCCATGCTATTTGTCAATATTACTCTCTCAGATTCTTCCTGCAGAAAGACAGGCCCGACTTAACGTTAGTCTGTGCCCTGGTGTCTGGGGACCTGATTGCTGGCGCACTGCCTCGCCCGGAGGCGGCCTGCGTGCGTTGGCCCATTGGACTGGGCCCCGTGGCGGTGCGGGGACACGCGACTCGGACGCTTTCGACGAACTCGCCTCGTCCTCTTCCTCCGCCGTGCCCCTCTTCATCGTCGTCCCTGCTGTTCGTCCTCCCCTACTCCTTCCCCTCCTTGTCCTTCCTCGGCAAGCTCCTCCTCCTCCTCGCAATTATTTGTCCTCGTGCTCCATCTGCGCCATCCCCTCTTTCCTCTCCTTATCCCCGTCCTTTCCCTCTTCCTTCCCTCTATTCCTCCTCTCGCCATCCCCTATACTCGTTCTCCTACTCCCCCCTCCAGCTCCTCATCCAGCTCCTCATCACCACGCAACAAACCTTGAACACTTATTCCCCCCTGCTTCCACCAACATCCTCATCCTCATGGTCACCGCGATCGGGGGTCTCCTGACATGGGTCAATCCAAGCCCGGGTTCGTCGGGCTTTGCAAGATTCTGCAGTATCCTGTACGCAAACTCGGGTCAGTGCAACCCTGGCTCTGCAGGATCCTGCAAGATCCCGCGCTCTGGCTGACCCCCCTTTGCATTGACCCCCGGCGCAAGGCCCCCGACGCGAAGGATCATCAGATTCGCAGGTGCAGTCGTGACTTGGCGGCGCGCACAAGGGGGTGGAGGGAGGGGGGGGCTTCTCAGAAGCAGGGGTGCTTCTAATAAGCCCTCCCCCCTCCCCCCAAACCCCTCAGTGCGTGGCTGACTGACCAACATCACACCACCTGCATCACATCCTCTGCCCCCTCATTCTCAAGGAGGGGGGCTGGCATAGAACTCCACCACGCGTGGTGCGGCAGCGACCCCAGGGGCATCGGCGGCCGCTGCTCCGGCCGCGTCTGCGTCGGCCTGCAAGACGTGCGCATAGGAAGAGCGACTGCCACCGCTGCCCCTGAGACTCTGGCACGTCCTCGACTGCGGCTGCGGCTGCACCTACTGCTGCGAGTCATTCTGCTGCTGCTTCTGCTTCTACCTCTGCCTTTGCGCTCTCATTCATCTGCCAATCTACTGCTCATACTGTGCCTGCCACTGCAATTACCACACAGACTACTACACGACTACGACTGACCACACTTCACTGGCCAACGGGACAAAGGCGCGGTAGAATCGATGGAAAGAGGTTCTCGATATTTGTAAATCATTGCAGGTTCGCGAGCTTGGCGGCCCATGGAAATTCTGGGATGGGCAGTCCACCACCGTGCCTGGAGGCATAAATTGGAGTGTCTTCAGTTCGCATGTATCTCTCAGTCCTCTATCCTCAGGATTTGAAATTTCTGGGGCTCCCCGCAGCTCTCCCGCGTCTTGTCGCATCACTTCTTTGGGGGCCCAATAAGGCCCAAAGACGAGCCAGGAAGGCCCCAAGATGCCTGTTCCGGCGGTGCAAGCGGGCTCCGAGTCGCCAGACGATTGGTCGAAGACGCCCCACATGGCCGCCAGACGGCGCAAACGGCCTCCAAGACGCTCCAAGAGACACCCAAGAGCACGTCCAAGAGGGCCTGGAGGGGCGAAACTCCTTCATACTTCAACGGTTGTTGCAAGGTTGTTGTGTTCTTGCCATTTCGGTCTTCCGACGCTGGCAGACGTTCCACGAGTCCGAGATCGCTCCAAGACGGCCGAAGATGGCCAGGAGGTCTCCAAGACGGCCCAGGAGGGCCCCCAAGACGATCCCGAGAGGGGCCCAAGAGCGGGAGCACCAGCCGGCCCCACATACACCCCAAACAGCCCCCAAGAGGCCGTCAAGAGGCCCAACAGTGGATCCATGAGGGTCTCCAAGAGGTTTCAAAACTTGTCCAGGAGGCCCCAGGAAAGGGGGGCCCCCCAGGAGACCTCAACAAGCAGCCCTGAGGACACTGACCCGCAACGATGGTGGGTTGAGCCGAAGGCCATTGGGATATCCTGGTCAAGTCGGCCTGGGCGTGCTGAACTGCCAGGAGCGGCCAGAAAAGCCGCCAAGCGGCCGCTACAATTAACAACAAGACCTCCAGGATTCGTCTCATGTTTTTCCAGACCGCTAGTTAAGCTCCACTCCACCACGCTCCCAGGGCGCCCCAAGACTGTCACCAGACGGCTCCAAGTGGCCACGAAGCCTCCCAAGGATGCCCCCGAGAGGTCAAACTCATTCAAAGTCGAAAGCATCACAACATGTGGCTCTTCTTGTGAAGTTGATTGTCTCGTCGTCTCTGCTCCGACGGGCAAGGTTCAATACGGTCCGAATGTTGCAAATATAGTTCCAAGTAGAGGCAAGAAGGTTTCCAACATGGTTCGAAGATCCCCAAGAGCGCCCCATAAAGATCCCAAAAAGGATCAAAGCGGCACCCTAGATGAGCTAACAGCGGGGATTACTCGGTGGCGGGCCTTGATGTGGGATTACTGCATCCAGGAGAAACCCTGAGATACCAGTAGCCCCAAGGGAACCCAAGCTGCCCCAAGATCGCCCACAAGAGGTCCCTGATCAGACCACAATCCATATATATATATATAATTATATATGTGTGTATCATATTTGTTGATTTGTTGTTGGGATTGTTCATACTTTCGCTTCCAATGCGCGTCTGAGGTCTCACGATGGCTCCAAGATCGCCCACGATGGCCCTAAATGGAGCTCAGACGGGCTCCCAGAAGGCTCCGAAGAACCGCAAGAGATCTCCAGGAATGCCGCAGGAAGTGCCAAAAGAGGGCTCCAAGAGAGGAGACGGAGCACCAAAGAGGCCCAAGAGCGGGGACCAGTGGGTGGGAGGCCGTAGAACAGCCCCAAGAGGCCACGCGATAGCCCAAATGTGGCAAAAAATGATCCCAGATGGCCCACAAGAGGCCACCAAGAAACCCAAAGCACCAAAACAACACATGGGTGTTCAGTGATGTTGGATTCTAGCCTTTTCGCTTCCGATGCGCGGCTGAGGCCTCAAGATGGCCCACGGATCGCATGAGATGGCTCCAAGTGGAGTCACAGAGGGCTCAAAAAAGCTGAAGACCCCCACGAGCGCTCCAGGAGCGCCCTCAGATGCCTGCGCGAGTGCACACTAGATCGGCCCAAGACCGATGATCAGTGGGTGGCAACACCAAGATGCCATCAAAAGAGCCACACGAGATTCCGAGAGCCTCACCAGGCCGTCCCGAGGCCATCCTGGATGTCCTTGAAGCCTTTCCTGTGCGCTGAAGCCCTTGTTGCTCAAATGCTGTCGCTGACTCGCGCTTAGATTCTCCGGCGCCTCGCCACTGGACCCCGGGAGGGTGTTTCGCTGCAGATCAACATTTGGCACCGCCCCGCAGGCCGACGCGACACACCCCAAGAGTACGCAGAAGCACCCTAAGAGCATCCGAGAGCCCTTCTCGTGAGCCACCTCGGAGGGGCTCCTCGGCATCTTGGTGGCCGCGGAGGGTGGATCTGGAGGCCCTAAGGGGCCCAAGAAGAGGTGCGCCAGTGAGCCCGTGGACCCCCCCCGTCGAATGAAGCTGTTCAACCCCCAGGGATTGGTCTCCCACGCCCGAAGTCGGGCCGGTGGCAGTGGGTCCCCTTGTAGCTCCTGCAGGCAGCCTAAGGGCCCCCTATAGGGCCAATTCACTCCCATTTAGACACCCCCCCATTTCGGGGATGGACAGACCAGACCCCCTTTAGTAAAACGTGGTTTAGTGAAAACGACCTGAGGCCCAAACCTGGCGAGCGCAAGCTTGGGCAATAGCGGCCACGGCGCCCTCCCGAGAACCGAAAACGGACAATTCACTAATCGACGTGTCACTGTTGGGGGTTCTGTCCACTCCGGACCATTACCACCCGCCCGAATGTCACACGCCAAACGTCTCACACGATTGTTCCCGTTCCGGCAAGCGGGGGTCGGCCTGACTCACGAGCAGTAGACCTACGGTGAGGGCATCGGACAAGGAACTGCTAGACAGGGAATCCAAGGTCTGGAAACTGGCGAAAACTCCAATCGTGGATCGGCCATGGATATCACCGCCGACCTCATCAGACAAGGGATCCTCCAGGGTCTGTAGCCTCCTGGACACATTCCTTAACCGACGCCCCCACTGTACTCAAGCAAGAGGTCGGGGCGGGCCTTCACTGCCGACACCTGGGACTGCAGGAAGTCCTGTATGCCGTCCGCCGACCGCTCGTCCTCGTATTCGACGCCAGGTCCCTTGAAAGAGGGGGAATCCAGCTGGCGTACGGGGTCGCGTTCGTCGTCACCGTGCTGCCTCATCCGTGCTCCTGCCTTCTCGCTTCCCTCCTGCTTCAACCAAACAGGTCGTGATCGAAGTCCTCCTCGTCCTCCTCGTCCTCCTCGTCCTCGTCCTCCTCGTCCTCCTCGTCCTCCTCGTTCAACTCCTCCTCCACCTCCTCCTCCTCCTCCTCCTCCTCCTCTTCCCCCGTTCTCCTCCTCCTCCTCCTCGTCCTCCTCCTCCTCCTTTCCCGCCCTCACTGACTCATCTCCCCTCTGTTATCATCTCTGTACCCACTCCCCTCCTCCCTTGTTTTCGTCCCGCCTCACAACTGCCTTTCTCAGGGAGGTCGCGTTCGTCATCTAAGCCGTGGTTAGGGTCGTAAGCAACTACACCACTATACGGCGTACTGCTTCTGGGTGCGAAGGCGTTTACCGAACACGGTGGTTGATGTACTTTGCCTGACGGTGCGCAGGGAGGGAGCACGGCTAAACCAGGTCAAAAAGACTCCAGAAAACTCAGCAGCCACCTTCGCAGGCAACCCCAAGTAGGACACCGAGCCGCTAACATCCAAACGCGTCATTGAAGAAACTTGCTGGGGCTGCTGTGTGCTGATCATCTGGTCACGAAAATACGGAGCTCGGGGCTATTGTCCTCCGCGTTATACATGGCTTGGAACGCTGTAGAAACCGACCCCCCCAAATAAGGTGAAATCTTCAAACTCGAGCGAAAGCCGAATAGCCCGAGAATGCGCCTTTTTCTTGCGACGTCCTCCTATGCGGCGGGCTAAAAGTATCGCGAGACGCTTTGCTCGCAGCGACTGAACGTTCAGCTGCGCGCAGCACCTCAGTGAAACGAATACCCTGCGACGTACCCAACCCGTGCGACTCCGGCACCGCAGCCGCGCCCGCGCGCACGACACGACGAGCGACGAACACGACAACGACGACGACGACGCGAGCAGCATGTAGGTGACGATGTGTCCGACTGCGCCTGTGTACACCACAACGCTCGCGTGCACCACAGCGCGCGTGTATACCACAGCGCCTGCGCACACCGCAACAAACGTGTGCAACGCAGCGCCTGTGGTACACCACAGTGCTTGCATACACTACAGCGCCGGCGTGCATGTGTACACCGCAGCTACCATGTGCAACACAGCACCTGTGTACACCACGGTGCTTGCGTGCACCGCAACGCCTGTGCACGCCACAGCGCGCGTCTACACCAAAGCAGCCGCGTGCAACGCAGCGTTGGTGTACACCACAATGCTTGCGCGCACAAGACAGGTACAAGGAACATGTACGTGAGGATCTGCTTCGGACAACTAGACGCCACGCCGGGAAAGTGTTGATAATCGAATGCGACGTCCTTCCCTCCTCCCTCCTCCTCCCTCTCCTCCTCCTCCTCCTCCTCCTCCTCCTCCTCCTCCTCCTCCTCGTCCTCCTTCTCCTCCTTATTCCCTGTCGTGCGGGTTGGCGCTACAGCGCACGTGCGCATCTCAGCGCGCACCGCGGAATGGTCGATTGAATCGGTCCACTTGGTATTCGGACGGCCAATTTAGCTGGAGCCTCCTGGACGCAGACGCGAGGAGTTTGGGTGATGCGGGCGGACTCAGGAGGACTCGTAGATTCCAGCGGCGTTCCGTTGTCCATAAGGATAACTTAATATTGTTTTCAGTGGAATCCACAAGCGCTCCAGTTTGTCATTGAGATTCGCTTTAACATAGTATGTTGAAACTGAGAATTACTTCTATAGAAATATTACTCCTGTATACAACATTGGTGCTGTGTTGCACACGATTGCTGTGGTGCACACAGGCGCCGTGGTGTACACAGGCACTGTCATGCATGCACGCACACATTGTGGTGTACACTGGTACTGTGTTGCGCACGGCTGATGTGGTGTACGCAAGCGTTGTGGTGTGCATAGGAGCTATTGTGCCCCCAGGCGCGGTGCCACAAACTGAACCTGCGTTGCACGCGGCAGTGTGGTCAAGCTGGCGCTACCCGTCCTCCGTCTTTCCAGGCATTCCCAGACGCCGCCGGCGCGAAACGTGACGTCATCGACGCCATCCCCCCCCCCCAGATGATTGCCGTCATCGGCCCGGAATAAATTTCAGCCGCGTCCGCGCGCACGACGACTATGAGCGACGAGCGACAAGCCACGAGCGACGACGACGACAACGATTGCAGAGCAGACTCCTTTGCGGATTCCTACGCGGACCCCTGCGCGGATCCCAGTGCGCACGGCGGCAATGCCCGGAGCGCACGGGGGGGGAGCGTTACGTCATAACGGGGGGAGCGGGGGCCACGACGCCCGTCATGCCCCAAGCAATACAGAAACGCGCTCCAACAGCCATCGAAAATGGCGACGGCTTCACATTTTTCGCAGGCGCCCAATGGATGGCCAGGTTCCGCTTGGATCTGCGCGGCGCCACACTGCGCCCACCCCCATCCCGCAGCAACCCTCAGAAGAAGCGACAGCTTCGCACTTCGCAGCCACCCCCCTCCGGGAATGGGGACGCACCGCTTGGATCTGCGCGGGGTCTCGCTGCGCCCCCCCCGGCAACCGCAGAAAGGGGCGACAATTTCGCGCTGCGCCGACCCCAAGGGGTGGGGGGGTAACGACTGGATCCGCGTGCGGCCCCAGTGTTGGCCCCCCCAGCAGTCCTCGAAACTGGCGACAGGTTCGCGCTTCGCAGCCCCCCAGGGATGGCGAGGCACCGTTTGGATCTGCGCGCGGCCGCGCTGCGCTGGCCCCCCCAGCAGCCCTCGAAAGCGACGACAGCTTCACACTCTGCCCGCAAGAGGGGGGGGAGAGGAGAGCCGAGGGGAGAGCGGGGGGGGGAGGGCGAGGAAGTGGGTGGGGGAGACCCCGCTGCGCGATCCAAAGCGAGAGCCCGCCCGCCCAAGGAAGGGCAGGACAAAACTTGTTGATCGCGACGTTGATCGTGATGACGCTGCCTTTCAGCGCGAGCACCGCCGCGGGGATCTCAGCCTGGAGCATCTGACTCGGCGAGGGCCCTCCTGATTCATCGCGCCCGGGAGTTGCAGCTCGAGTGCCTCTTCGCCTGGTGGCAAGGCGCGCACTTCCAAATGGTGGGCAAACCCACGCTTGGCGCCCCGGTCACGCCTGTCGAAGGCGGGAAGGCGCGCCCCTTCCATCGCCCATGCCGCCGCGCACTGCAAAGCCCCCTTTTTCGAGCTGGAGTCGAGCTCGCCCGGGCGCCCCCGGGCGCCGCAGCCCGCGCCCAGACGCGCCCGCGAAGGGGGCGCTCGTTATGGCGCCCAGCAATGCGAATCAGCGCCCCGCTAGTCGATGCTCGACTGGTGTATCGATGTAGCCCTTGTGCGATTTGATAAGGCGACTCGACGTAGTCCTGGTGCGAGACTCGATGTAGTCCCGGTGCGAGTTGATGAGAACCATGCTGCTTTCGCTTAAACGCTGCGCCATGGCCGTCGACGGGCCCCGACGTTCCAGCGCCCTGATGCGAGCCCCAGGCTGGGCGATGAGAGCGCGCGTCGCCCTGCTGCGCCCCTCCCCCAGATCGCCCTTTCGTCATCGTCGTTCTCGCCGATGTCCTCTGCCTCTGCCCCGCCCATGCGAGCTGTCTTCGCCTTGCCCGCCGCCGCCGAGGAAACGGTGCGCGGCGGACTCGCGAGTCGCAGCTGCCCGCCCCCCTCTGGCATTGACTGCGCTCGGCCACGGCGCGAAGCTTGTCGCGAACCGTTGACACTCAGCGCGCGGGACAGGTGGCCAGAAATGGCAACGTGGAAACCCCGAGGAAGAAATTCCCATATGTTCTCGGCAATGCTTGGTCAATATGTATACGTGCTCGGCCTCGCACTCGCACGCTGGACACGGTTTGCTCGGCACTTTCGACGGGGCCGCTTCGAGCCTCGCCTTTCCCCAGGGACAGCAGTTGCAACTCGCGCTTGCCATCGCGTGACGTTTGGCAATCGTGGTTTCCCTCGTCGCTGTGGATCATATGGGACATGCGTTCGCCGTGGCCAGCATTGGCCCCGCGCGCGCCCACCCCCCCCCCGCGCGCCCCGCCCTCGGCGCGACCCCCCATCACCGCTGAGAGCCGCGCGCCCGATCCCTCCGTCGACGGCGCCCTCCGCTGAACGGCGCCCGCTTCGCGAGCGGCGGGGAAGACGCATTGAAGCTCGTCGAGACCTGGCAACGCTCAATCCTCGGGCCCCCGGAACAGCGCGCTGGAAATGCCGCGAGCGCGGGCGGCGAGCATTGCGACGCCAGCCTCCGATTGCACAGCCTGCTTCGACACGCACAAGGGCGTTGCGCAGCATCGCGTGGCAAAGCATTGGCATTGAGATATTTTTACGAGGCGAGACACAACGCATGCGTGCTCCTTCTGTTTGACGGTTTTCAGTTGCGCGGCGACGGCTCAGAGACACCTTCTCCTGGGAGTTGCCAGGGGGGCGATGTATCGAGAGGTCGCGTTTTTTTATTGTGTTATGGAGGCCGCATTCATCCCGATAGAGTCGATAGCCATCTCTGTGATCATCGGGCCCTGGCCTTTGAGCTTTTGCATATGCATCTCCACGCACACGCACCCCCCTTCACGATTATTGCGGACCTCGCCCCGACACACGGAGAGCGCGACCAGTCTCGGGGCCGCCATGTTCTTCATCGCGACCCCGAGCTGGGGCCTGAAGCGGCGCGGCGACGCCAGTGCACCCGCGGACGCACCGCCCAACAAGAAGTAGATATCGGAGCTCCTGGCAGCAGGAGAGGACGTCAACTCAGTCGCGAAGTTGCTCATGGTCCTTACGACATTGTCGCTCACGAGCGCCGCCTACATCTGGGAACTCGCGGGAACGCTGTGGATCGCCGTCTCAGTGGACGTCAAGTGCAGCATCGCCAAGCACATGCTCGAGCAAGGTCGCGTTTACCACGAGGCAACCAAGACCGCCCAGAACGACGCAGCCGCCCTCGAGGCCCTGGGGCCACCTTGCGTGCACGTCTTCGCAAGGCTCATGCAGGGCGTCGCGGAATACGCCTTGGACGACTCAATGAAGGTGCCGCTTGCTTCTTTCTGGGAGGAACAGGTAGTCCAGGAAGGCAGGACACCGACGGATCTCCTCGGCACAGCGCTGCGCTGCAAGTGCAAGCCCGCCAAGCCGAAGGGGGACAAGCCAGGCCTTGCGAAGGTCACGATCGCTATGAGCGCCGAGTACGCCACCCTGCAGAGCTGCCTGGCCAAGGCAATGACGACGAACGGAGGGGTTCTCAAGCACGGGCCCGCGCCCCGCGGCCCTCTCGAGAGGGCGGCGCAGGAGCTTCTCGAGGAGCCCAAGGGTGGCAAATCCAAGAAGGACAAGGGCAAGGGAGGGAAAACCAATTGTGTATGCCTGCGGACGGGGGGGGCTCGCTTGACTGTCGGTCAGAGGGTGCAAAGTGACCGTTTTCGCATCGTCTACCGCAAGTGGTGGAGAGAGGCCAAGTGACTTCGGACGCGGTTCTGAAGCACCCTGGCGGTGTTTCTTCTGGTCCCGTTCTGCAGCCTCCAGTTCGGAAGCAAAGGGGGAGGGTGACCGACCGAAGGAGTGTCGTCGAGGTCGTCGAGCCTGTCGGTGTCGCCGTTGAGTTGGTCATGGCACGTAACTGCCACCCCCCATCGGGTAGCTCTGAGCAGCCTGGCAGCCTGGTGTCGGGTGTGCGGGGGCCTAGCGTTCAGTCTTCACGTTGCAACTTTCACAGTGTGGAGTTGGTTGCATTGCCCTCGCCGCCTCCCGACCCTGGAATGCGGGACTGTGTTCGTGCACCCGCAATCCTTGGGCCAGGAGCGACGCGTGGTGGGCGTAACTAGCCACTCACGGGATCTGTCTCTGTGGCTTGTGGTGGTACGGGGGGTCCGTCGGCTCAGTCGGCCCGGTACGGGACTCCAGACCGCCCGTGCGGTGTTCCTGCGCGCGCGGCGGCCACGTAAATACCTTGGCAGGTCCTCAGGGCGTATAGGCAAGCAGTTTCGAGTTATAAACTGGCGAGAGTCGCCAAGAGTGGCCAAGGCGTCTTACACAGACGAGCTGATTGAAGTGCACCCAGAGCTCGATTCCGATTCCGATTCCGATTCTTTCTAACACGCATGGCCATCCAACCCTCCTCCCTTCCCCCTCCTCCCCATCCGCATTCCTCCCTATCTGTATTGCCTTCCTCCCTCTGGATCCTCCTCATCCTTCTCATATTACGTGATCCTTCCCTCCTTCTCATCCTGCTGTTCGGCGCCTTGGCCGATGGGAAATACTTGATGGTCGGGAAGGACTCTACACCCTGCCGCTGGCACTCTGCATAATCGCGGCCTTTTGCCCATCCTGGCCCGAAGCACTCCTGCGGGGCAGGCAGGGAGAAGGGGGAAAAAGGGAAGGGGGAGGGGAGAAGAGTGAGTTGAGGGGGAAGATGAGGGAGATGGGGGAGAGCACAAAGATGGAGGAAGAAAACAAATATGAAATGAAGGGACGGCAGTGGAGGGAACAGGGAGGAGAACGCGATGGAAACACAGTGGCATCGGCGAGGGTCGAAGCGAGACCAAAATCCAGCGCTACAAATCTAGCACGATGCTCAGGATGAGGACGAGAAGCGTAAGAGAGGCAATGAGGGACGAATGCAGTAGGAGCTCGACCACAAGAAACCTTCCACAAGAAACCCAACCCTGAGACTCTGGGACTTCCATTGGTGTTTGGTGTGGGAACGTCACGCTTGATATAGCAAAACCATTGAAGCTCAAGAAACCAAGGGCACCCTGGAGGCAAACAGGGTGTTTCCTGGCATGGGTTTCCACTGCATTGGAAAAGGATTTGACCGCTCCAGTGAGGGAATCCAGTGGGGTACATGGGGGCATCTCCTCGCGACTGCCTCAGGCAGCACACGCCAGCATGACTCTGCACGTGCCAGACAGGCACTGGAGATGCACACGACCAGGGAGGAGCAAAGCAAGAACTGCGACATGAGCATCGCTACGCGTCGGTCGGAAGAAGTAGGTAGAAACAGAAAGTAGGAAGGCGGCTGGAATAGAGTGGGTTCGGGCCCTCTCAGAGAATAACACAGCGCAGCGGAAGCATGCCGATGATTGAAATAGGAAGGCGCTGGAAGTAGACTGGCATCTGGGAACCCAGAAATATCTACTTTCAACGACCGGCGTGTACACATTGCAAAAACTGTGCGCGCCAACTGTCTCTCGGATTGCCCCTCCCATCCTCAGTTCGGGCGAGCCAAAATTAAAGATAGTAAAAAATGATCAAACATGGACGAAGGTAGCAAAACAAATCGTCCCCAGACTATTTTGTTGACTAGTTTGGAATATTCCTCGTGTAGAGGGACAGGCCCGACTTAACCCTCCCGTCCTTCTGCTGCCACGTGACATCAGCGCCATCGCCGTGATGGTTCGCCATCCACTGGTGCTGGGCGTCCTGGCAGCGCTGGTCAAGGCACACCGCAAGGAGTCGTGTAGCAGCCGCAACCCACAGAGCACGCCATGACGCCACTTCGCATGCAGGGAACTCGCAAGGTGGGCAATAAAACAACGAACGTCAGGCCCCCCTTAGAAGTCAAAAAATCCCCCCCCACAGAATAACCACCCCGACACGCCAGGTCACTTGGCCACCGCGCCTAAAGAAGAAATCGAACAAGGCAGGCCTGCTTAGTAAACGCCCAAGGCCGTTTAGTAAACGGCAGTTGTCCGGTCCGGGTGGTTTTTCCTCCCCTGACCCCTCGCAATGTTGTGTCCCCGATGGTCTTCAATGGGGACCGCCCAGGCTGTGCCAGGACCCAGGGCCCCGTGTTCACCCTCCTCTCCATGCTCCTCCTTGTCCCTCTTGCCCAGGTTCCTCCGTCCTCCGCCGCCCCCACGTCCTGCTTCTCTGAATTCATCCTCACACTGCATCATCATCATCGTCTCTCTTCCATTCTCCCTCTGCCCCTTCCTCACCTCGACTCCCATTTCTCCCTTCTCATTCTTCTGCTCCTCCTCCTCCTCCTCCTCCTCCTCCTTCTCCTCGGGGTCCCCCCAAACATTCCCCTCGCCCCCCCCCCCATCCCCCTGGGGGGAAGTAACTACCTCCCCGAGCACGTGTATTTGATGGTCGCCACCCCGGGCCTGGGAGCGAAAGCTTGTCGCCCGAGTGACCCCAGCGTGCTCGCCAACGCCGCGGGACCTGTGAGCACCGCAGCGCCTGCGGCGCACCACAGGCAATTCGTGACGGGCACCTCGTGAGCGCCACGGCTTCCTGTGAACATTGCGCCGCTGAGTCGGCACCCGGCGCGCACGAGCGCGGCAGGACCTGTGGGTCTTCGCAAGGCTGGTGAGCACCAAGCAAGGCGCCCGCCAGCGCCAGCAGGCACGGAAGCCAGAGCTCAAGAGCTCGGCTATCTTGTTTCCTCCCTCCGCCTGTACGGTTGAGGGAGTGAGGGCACTATCATTCCATAGTGTAGGAGTGCCAGCACGAGTCCGTCCAAGAGGCGAGGATCGCCTCAGCAGAACAGAGCATGATTGACTCTACCTTGGCAGCGAAAGCATCGGAGTCGCACGAAAACGCTGCGAACGTTGTCTTTTTCGGCGTTTCGACACTGGGCGGAAGGAGGGGGGAGGGGGGGGGGGCGTCTGGCTCCGGACCTCTGCTTCATGCATCTGTTTGCAAGAAGTGCGTCCGATGGGGGAGACTCCACCTGCTCGAAGCAGGCATCAAAAGTATCCAAGATCTAGACCATGGGGGGGGAGAAGGGGGGGCGAGAGCCCCCGATCGGCAAAACAATGAATACGACAACGATCACGTTCTGGTGATTATTTCAGGAACATGTCGGCATCCCTCCGAGAGTCACCCTTGCCCTCTCACGGCAGCGGAAGAAGGTCCTGTCCCTGGTTGGCGCCACTGCCAGATGGAGGAATCCTGGATACGGGCCTTTGGGGCTGAACTCTTCATCGACGGGTCATTCTCCCGCGATGTTGATGAAGAGCTGTCAAGTGCCGCCAATTGATGAAGGGACCCACGAACACACAAACAAATAGACACAAATCTCAGGAATACCAATATGTTCCTATATGTTCGGGAGTTCCATTTTCCCCACCGCTTCCCATATTTTCCCACACCTTCCTGGGAACCGACGATCATTTGTGCCTGTGTGCACTTTCCCTCCCGAGTGGTGCTTGCATGATCGACCCCAGGGGAGAGCCGGTGGCGAGTGTGCAGGGCCGCGCCTTTGGCCCCGCACCCCCAAAGCCCCCCGTGGTGCCGAGCTCAATACCCACCGGTCGGAAGAAGTAGGCAGAAACATGAAGTAGGAAGGCATTGTAAAAAGATCGAGTTCCGTCCGCCCCCTAAGAAGCACGGAAAAGGTGAAGAGCCACTCGATCACTGAAATAGGAGGGCGCTGAAAGCAGATCGGAATCGGGGAATCCAAGAATACCTACTTTTTTCGACGACCGATGGCTACGACCACCAAGGAGCGACTGCTCCTTCCACGTCTGTGCCGCAGTCCGCGGCCTGCTCGGGACCGCAGCCGTGCGACCAGGACGGCGGCCAGGCCCGGAGCCGGGCGGCTCTCCCCCGAGCGCGTGCGCTCGTGGGCCTCGCTTTGCGGCGCTGCCCCTCGGCGGTCCGATCGCCCCGCGTGCGTCGAGGTTGCCGCCCGCCGTGGCGTTGGCGAGGTCGGGGTCGGTCCACGCAAGCGATGGCTCCGCAGAGGCAGCTGCTGGGCCGATGCGAGAGCTAGGGATGCGGTTGACTTGCATCCGGAGGGCGACGAGCTGCCGAAAGCCATCGGCGCCGACGCTGCGCGCCCCAACCGCTTCGAACTTGGCGGCAAGGCTTACGTGCCAGTGACCGAATGTTGACCTCCGCGAATATGGGTGTGAGCCTCAGACCCCAGCTCTGACTACCTACCAGACCACCCCAACAAAACCCGAAGACCCGAATTTGTCCTCCAATTTCGGGTTGGAGGGGGTACGGGTTTCATATGTTTTTTCAACGTTCCTCGACCCCCCCCACTGGAAATGGAGGGCAACTTGAGGGCTTCGGGTTGGGTTGGGGTGGTTTGGTGGGTGGTGAAGCTCAGCCCCAGGTGGGGCGCAGGTGGGAGTGGTGGTCTGGTGTCTGGAGGAACGCCGCACGTCGTCGAGGGAGGCATGTATGTGAGCAGGCCCACTACAGGCCACTGCCCAAAATGTTCCCTCACAACGGCCCTGGAGAAGCCCCGAGAGGCCTCCCGCGGCATCCCACCGAACGTCGTAGAGGCCTACGTACGATCCACAACTCGGGCACGGTGGCGGGATGGTCCGAAGGACATGTAGGTCCGCCGCCCCCTGTCGATTCATCGCAGGGGTGCCTGGCGTGCTGGACCCTTCACTTTTGGTTTTGGTTCTTTTTCCAAAAGATACCCCCTGGGGCTTCGGCCCGTCCCGCAGGCCACCCGGAAAGGACCTCAAAGGAGCACAATTCCCTAATGTTTCGCTCAAGATGGCCCAAGATGGCCTCCAAGATGGCCACGTTGGCCCAAGATGGCCTCCAAGATGGTCCAAGATGGCCTCCAAGTCTGCCCAAGATGGTCCAAGACGGCCTCCAAGACGGCCCAAGAGAGTCCAAGACGGCCCAAGAGGCCCCCCAGAGGCCTCCGAGACGGCCCAAGAGGTCCTCCAGGAGGGCCGGAAGAGGCCAACATCATTGATTTTCCTTAGGTGTTTGAAGGAATTTGGCATTCGCTTCTTCTCGGCTTTCCGACGACCCAAGATGGCCCAAGAGGCCCCAAACATCGCCACCACAGCGCTCAAGAGGCCTCCGAGATGGCCTCAGGACTGCCCAAGAGGCCCCCAAGACGGCCCGACGAGGGTACAAAGACGATTCAAGAGGCCTCCAAGACGCCCAAAAAGGCCTCTAAGGCGGCCCTGGAGCACCCCAAGAGGGCCCCAAGTCGGCCCAGAAAGGCCCCCCGAACGGCTTCCGACGGCGTCAGACGGGCCAGGAGCCCACCAAGATGGCCGAAGTTGGCTCGATGCTTGCCCAAGACGGCCCAAGAGGCTTCCAAGAGGGCCTCCAGGAAGGCCCGAAACAGCCCCAAACACGGAGTTTCCATAGATGTTCGAAGGATTTTGTCATTTGCTTAGTTTCGGCCTTCCGACGGCCCAAAACGGCCCAAGAGCCCACAAAGATCGCCCACATTTTGCCCAAGAGGCCTCCGAGATGGCCCCAGAACGGCCCAAGAGGCCCCCAAGACGGCCCCAAGAGGCCACAAAGACGACCCAAGAAACCTCCAAGACGCCTAAGACGGCCTCTAAGACGGCCCAAGAGCACCCCAAGAGGGCCCCAAGTCGGCCCAGAAAGGCCCCCCAAACGGCTTCCGACGGCGTCAGACGGGCCAGGAGCCCACCAAGATGGCCGAAGTTGGCTCGAAGCTTGCCCAAGACGCCCCAAGAGGCCTCCAAGAGGGCCTCCAGGAAGGCCCGAAAAGGCCCAAATCATTGATTTCCCATGAGTTGTTCAAGGATTGTGACATTTGCCTTTTGCCGGCCTTCCGACGGCCCGAGACGGCCCAAAGATCGCCCAAGAGGCCCAAGACGGCCCCAAGAGGCTGCCAAGACGGCCGAAGAGGCATCCAAGACGCTCAAGATGGCCTCCAAAACGGCCCAAGAGCCCCTCCACGACGTCCCCCAAGAAGGACCAAAAAAGGTCAAAATGGCCTCCAAGCGGCCAAGATTACCTTCAAGATGCCCACGTGTTCCCCGAAGGCTTTCCAAACCGATTCGGGGAACACATGGTCCGATAGCTTTGCAGGTCTGGCCTCAACGTTCGGCCACGTAGGCGCTTCCAAAAAGGCAGGGGGCGGCGGTGATTCGCCGTAGACGTCGTCGATAGCATGTGTAAACGCACCAAGGTCACACAAATAAACAACATTTGAGCCACAGGACATGTACTGCAAGCCTGCCCCCGCCCTACAGCGATTCCCGAACCCCGTGTCGTTCTTCTCCTCGCCCCGCCCGATTCCCCCCCCAGACTTGCTACGAAGGCTGGGCCCCGCCCCCGCCCACGGGTGGGCGGGAGCGCTGAATACTCTTCCGTCGCGTCGCAGCGCGGCGGAGGCAGCCCACGTTCGAGCTATCCAGCGGACCGGGAGACGGAAGGCGCTGATCGTCCACCGGCAAGAGAGGCAGGAGGAGGAGGAGGAGGAGGAGGGGGAGGAGGAGGAGGGAGGAGTTGGGAGGAGGGTGTAGGAGGAGGGTGTAGGAGGAGGAGGGAGGAGGAGGAGGGAGGAGGGAGGAGGGGAGGAGGAGAGGAGGAGGAGGAGGAGGGAGGAGGAGGAGGAGGAGGAGGAGGAGGAGGAGGAGGGAGGGAGAGGAGGAGGAGGAGGAGGAGGAGGAGGAGGAGGAGGAGGAGGAGGAGGAGGAGGACGGAGGGGAGACACTCTGGAGTTACAGGAGGCA